CAGGGATCGTATCAATGTTTATGAGTATCTGAAAAGAGGGTGCCAAGAGAATGGGGCCAGACTCTTCTCCGTGGTGCCCAGTGACAGGACAAGAGGCAACGGGCACAAACTGAAACGCAGGCAGTTCTGTCTGAACGTGAGGAAAAACTTTATTTACTGTGAGGGTGACTGAGCGCTGGCACAGGTTGCCCCAAGAGGTTTTGGAGTCTCCTTTCTTGGCGATACGCAAAAGCTGTCTGGACAGGGTCCTGAGCAATGTGCTCTAGGTGACCCTGCTTGAGCAGGGGGGTTGGACTGGATGATCTCCAGAGGTTCCTTCTGACCTCAACCGTTCTGTGATATCCCTGCGAGACTTCACTGGCGACCTTTTGTCACTATAAATCTAAGCCAATTATTTCTGCCCTGTTTTCTGTCCCAAATGAACAAGTGATCGAAGTGAGGATTCTGTGCCCTAGCTTCTTAGTTTCTATATGGATTGGAGGGACTGTGTTAAATGCCTCTTTGAAATCTTGAGTAGATTAAATCCATAGATTAAAGTGAAAAGTTATATTAAAATAGTTCAACTATTTCATCTTAGAGGTTTAGACTTTCTAAATGAGTTTCAGCTCTTTTTCCCCATTGTTTTGATTTGTTTCATCGTTTGTTAGCAGTGAATTTAAAAAAACAAAACAAAAAAACCTACTTGTGTCATTTTCTTCTCTGAACGTAGGAATTTGGATGTTTTTTGTTTCTTTGATTATCACAGGCTCTACAGACTACAAGCTACTTGGTTCTGATGCTCTTTGGAAAGTATTTTATTGATTTCCTTCCCCCTCCCTTTCTCTGCAATCTGTTCCCTTAACTGTTTAATAGGGCTTTATGTTTAACTTGTCAGACTTTGATTCTCTTTCGCTTATTTGGACATAGCTTCAACTTTTGAATGATATCTTCTTGTTTCAAATGATGTCCTGGACTGTAGTGGTTCTTGGGTGTCTGACTTTCTTTTGATGTTCTCAAGTCTTTCAATCCTGCAGAAATTTATGCTAAAGAGAGTAGTACTCCCTGTAAAGGAAGATAGTGTTAACTCATTAGTGTCATCCAGCAGTTAAGAAAGTTGATAAAATATTGTGTTTTCCACTGCAGTGGAGTTTCTGTGTTTTCACCTAGTACTGGATCATAGATGAAGCAAGTCAAAACAAGCACTTGCATGAACAGCAACCTAATTTTGTAATTTTTTTACAGATCTGTGTTTTGAGGATGACCCCCTTTATAGGTCCCTGTAGTAAAGGTATTGAGGCAGTTACTTTCGCAAAACTTGTTGAAATGTTGTGTCCTGGTGAGCTTTCTCTCTGTTAAATTTGCAAAGAGATTCAAAAACTGATGTACGTGTATACATGTGAAGACACAGGCATTGCACAACTCTTGTCATGTCAGACAAGAGAGCAGCATCATTTCTAGAAAGTACCAGTTTAGTATCATTCCAATTTTTACCAAACGTTTGATTTCTGACAAATTTACTGTGGCCATTTCTCAATAGTCTGTAGCATACAAAATTCTCATTGTTGAACTGAGTTGGTTAATGACAAAAATTTCTTTTCAAGTAGTTTCATATTCTGAGGCATTATCAGTGGAAAGCTGCTTATGTAGGCTATCTTTGGATATAACTAAGGGAGAACTGGGGATTTTCACTTTCTTTGTGAAATCTTCCGTCATCTTGAGGATGTCCTCCATAATTGTGCATTTTCTGGTTTTAAACATGCCAGAAACAAGCATGAAACTTGTGATTTACCTGAGACAGAGATGACTCTACAGCCTTTACTGTCAACAGTGTCAAGGTATATATGAAGCAGCAATAATTTTGGCAGACTTTCTATAGTCCCTGTCATCAGCTCGGTCACTGTCCCTCAGCAAATTTTCTCAGAAGATATAGAACGATGTGCAAAATGGCCACTTTCAAAGTAGTTATCTTTTCTCCTGTTATATTTTGGAAATTATTACTTTATTACCATTTGTTTGTCACTGTGGAATGTTATAACAGACAACACAGGCTTCCATATTCCCTTTCAGGGGTGTCTCTGAGTTCATGCAGAAGCTAGTCCACCATAAAAAGGCAAGGTGTGTGCCCCCTTTTGAAAGAGAGCAATGTTTCTCATCAAGTTAAAAAGACCCTGGAAGTATACTTGGCTTCAGTAATTCTGTTCATCCAACTTCTGTCAGCTCTGAAGGGGGTTACGTATGGCTTTTCCCACCTTAGCTGTCACAAGTTTTCCTCTGGAATTTATAGCATAGCTTTCTTGCGTTATGTTCTTACACTCATGTGAGGCAGATATCCGAGCAATTATTCTATCACTTCAAATAGTTGAGCTCCTGCAACTCTGTAAATACAGTCGCTTATTCACGCATCTCTGTGCCCCTTCTAGATTGTCTTAGCTAAGGCAGAGGTGGAATTCCATACAAATTAAGCTGCTGAGTTGTATAAAACATGTATAAATCGCTTGTAGGCTTTATTTTAAGGACAAGCTGAATCACATCTCCAGAATTCTGAGAGGTAACTTCATTCTACCTTTTAGGACCAAACCCTGCATATCCTCTCCTAGGTTCATGCTCATACCTTGCTGAAAAGATGAAAATATGCTTCCTCCCTCCCTAGATAACCTCAGTAATGGGTGGGAGCAAAGAACTGCCTCCTTAGATAATATTACAGCCCACTCTAGAAAGGCAGTCAGCTTCTTGGTATCTTTGCCAAGAAAGGTCCTCATATTTGACATCTGAAGAGCTGTGACTTGGAGTTCGAGGGATCCTTTCTGTTACGTGCTGTAACAAAAACATTCCAAATGTATATCGTTAAAGTGATTCTGTGATCAGGTTTTAAATAGACTCTGACTTCCTTCACCCTAGTTGTGTTGCACCTCAGAAGTCATCTGCATTGGAAAACTCATGTCAACAGGTACTTGTGTAAAAAAAAAAAAAAAAAAAAAAAAAAAAAAAAAAAAAAGTGGAATTCTTTGAGATGCATTTTTTTCTTTTTTTGTTTTAAACTAGAAGAAGCTTTAAAAGTGCATGTTTAGAAGATAAAGGAACTAATTTATTTTAAACCTATGAACAAGATACTTAAGACTTCATAATACAGAATAAGAGCTGTCGGTTGGTTTTTTTCTATAAACAAAAAGCAGTACAGTGCAAAGCATATTTAAGGTTTAATATAGGCATGAATAACATCCACAACTATCTAAAATTGAGACATTTCAGCTCTGTAATAAACTCAGAAGCTGCTAACGTGCCTCTGTCTTGCAAAAATTCATGAAAAACCCAAATTATACTTTTGATTTTCATGACTTCTGTTCTAAAACCTATTTGCTGTGTAATAGACTGTAAGTAGCAAAGCACTGTATGCAGTAACTCTTACTTTAATACCCTATTAGGCTAGTAACACTTGTAAATGTAGTCTCAGTCTGCTTCTAATGTGGTTATTAACAGTATCTTCAATCACCCTTTGAGTGAGAGTAGAGGATATGAGAGTTTTGTAACTAACTTTGCTAAAGGGACATCCTTGCTCTTCAGCGGTATATAATGTAGAGCGGTATATAATGCATTATTTTCAGGATAACAGTGCAGAGTTTCCACCTCTGTTAATAGCTTCTTTATATACTGGCAATTATATCCAGGCATAAGTATAAGGCAGGTCATACAGGGACAGACCAAAAGTCCATTTAGTGTAACAGCTTATCTTCTGTGATGATCAAAGGGAAATTCAGATGGAAGATTTAAAAAAAAAAAAAAAAAAAAGTCACACTATATAACATTTTCCCCATGTACTCTCTCCCAGCCACCCGTTATTTACAGCTTGAGACTTAGTGAGCCAAAGTTGGTTTCTCTACCTAACAAATTGCTGTTTTTTCCCTGATGAGAAATCCCATGGCTGTAAACTTGAGGATGAGAAGTTTATCTCTGTGCTTGCCCTGTGGAATGCCACGTGAAGAGACTTATATAAAATTTGTCCATCTAGGCTTGGATCAATTTTGACAAATGTATTTCATTCTGTATAATTCTACCAGTAGGCTTCTTGTTGCTTTTTTAGCTGAAGTTCTGGTTTTGATGCCACCCTTACGTTGTCAGGTTCTTGTCACAAGAACCAGACTTGGGGAATGTCATTGATGACTCTGATGGCTTATTTCTATAAGGGATGTACCACCCAAATACAGCTTCCTTCTGGAAGTGGAAAATCAGCTAACGTAGTTTTTATTTGTTGAGGCAGCAAATAGGTAGTTACAAAACTTCTGCGCTCAGTTAAGTTATTAGTGAATTGTTACCCCATTATGAGTTTTAGCAGGAAAGATCTAGAATAATATTTGAACCACGTGTATCAGGCATGCAGTTCAGTGCCAACAGAACTTACTAAATTTCCTGTTTTTTCCTTCCACTTTCTTAAACACAATTGGGTTAAAAATAACTTTCAGAAAAGGGTATTTTTACCCAGGTCATCTTTGTAATTAGCGTTGTAGCAAGGATTAACGAACAGTTTTATTGCCAGAATTGAAGGGCCACAAATGGCTCAGTGAGAATACAAATGCATAAGTAAGGAGGGATAAGCACAAGGGACTCCTTAAACTATCTTTCATGCCAAAACCCGGTTGTACCAAGCCATAAAGATCTCAGAGTGCATCCTCACAGTGAAACTTTCTCAGGCAGTGGTCCATGGTGTGAATTTGTGCATTTGTATAACTTCTGCAAATGGGGTGAAGAAGTGCAGGTCATTAACAGCTTTTGACTGAAACCTGTTGTGAAGGTCACAGATCACCTTTTGGATGATGATGATGCATTCTGTAGTTGGTGAGACCCACAGCCCCTATCATTGGGGAGACACAGCAGCCATAGAGTTAACCTAATGCTAACCAGATACCAAGTGTACTGGCTTAGGTTTGTTAATAAGCAGGTCTTGAGCTGCTTGAGCAGAGCTTGAGGAAGTCACTGTACTAATATGCATATGATAAGGGTGTTTTCCTCATAGCCTGACCTATTTGTCACCTTAAGTGTTTCATGCCCTAAGGAAAGGAGTAGTTACGAAGTTGAGGCTTTTTAAGAGAAAACAGTTGCAAATTTATAGGTGAACTCGAATTCCAGTTTATGTGTCAAGCTGGACAGAGTGTGGAAAATAATTTCAGCTTTTCTCTCATAGCTTCTTGGCAGTTGGTTGTGGTCCTGACCTGGTTGGTTTCATAATAATATAACATGCTGATTAAATTCTTCACTGAATCTTTTAAATAGGCTGCTTTTAACTTCTGTGAGAAGTAAGCACACTTCAACTTTACGGTTTCCGTTAGTAAATTCACCATGAATAATTTAAAAAAAAAAAAAAAAAAAAGAAAATAGAGATTTGCCAATTTTCCAAGTACTTAAGTTTTTTATCAAATATGAAAGCTTCTATTAAATCAACCTATTCTAGTTGAACATAGCATTTCCATTATATGTAAATGTTACAGAATCGAGGTGTTGTGTTAGGCTTAAGGTGACAAAATTATTACCTTAAAAGCAGTATCAGTATTTAAAATTATGTCTTATTATATCTAATAACAGGACTGCGCTTGATTTGTAAATGAGCTTGATTTGCAAAATGAGGGACAAAAGAACTTGCAATTTAGGTATGAATTTCTAAATCCAGAACATACTGCTGATATGAAGAGAACGTATCATATTTTTCTTTTCCTGGCTTTTATGATGCCTTCTCAGTTGTTAGGACTACTATAAAAGGTTAAGTGTGTATTGTGAAATTGATTTTAGTAAGCATATTTGACTTCATATAAAATTTTCTATGTGAAATAATTCACATTGGCTTTTATTTCTTTTCAGGTCTGTAAGCAGCCAGTACTGCAGAAAAGTTATAGGAGGGATGGTTTGGAACCCATCTATGAGGAGATCTTTATCTGTTGAGCATCTGGAGACCAAAAGCCTTCCTTCTCGATCACCTCCTGTTACTCCTAATTGGTAAATCAAGTTTCAGCCTTTCCCCTACCTTCCAGCCTCCTACCTTTTCTAATTATATTACACTAATTAATAGTTTTTAAATATATATGTATACATTACCTAATATTTTGATAAGGTATATGGTGATGGGACAACAGTGAATATCACTTATGTCAACTTTAGCAAGCTTTGACACTGTCTGCCACAATATTCTTGTATCATAAGATGTTACAGTCTGGACCAACAAACAGATGGGTAAAAAAATGTGGTTGGATGATTTCGCTCAGAGTTGTACTCTGCCTGGGTGCCAGTAACAAGTGGAATACTGCAGGGATTGGTCTTGGGACCTTTGCTGTTTAATGTCTTTATCAATGACCTGGAGGAGGCAATGGAGTGCTTGCTCATAAAGTTTGCAGATGACTCCAAACTGGGGGGTGGGGAAGGTGGCAGACAAGTTTGAGAACAAGACTGCTATCCGAAGGGACCTTGACAGCCTAGAGAAATGGGCCAACAGGAATCTCACGAAATTCAAAGACAAATGCAGAGTCCTGAGGAGAACCTCTTGTAATGGTACTGTCTGGGGAGCAATTCCATGGAAAAAGACCTGGGAATCTTGGTAGTCAGCACTATGAACGTGAGCTGTCAGCGTATCCTGTCAGCCAACACAACCAACAATCTGGCCGTATTATCAGGAATGTAGCCAGCCAGTACCTCAAGGTTTGTACCCCTTTATTCAACATTCATTAGACTTCATCTAGAATACTTCATCCCATTATGCCTCCCAGCCCGTTACGAGAAAGACATTGACAAACCAGAGTAAACTCAGCAGAGAGCAACCAACCACCAAGATGGCTGGAGCACTTGCCCTGTGAGGAGGGCTAAGGGAACTGGGCGGCTGGTCCAGCCTGGAGAAGACACGGCTCCACGGCACCTACTAGCAGCCTGCCAATACTTACGAGGAGGTTACTGAGAGGATTAAGCCAGGCTCTTCATAGTGGTGTGTGGTGGACGACAAGAGACAACAGGCGTTTGCTGAAACGAGAGGCTTGGATTGGATATAAGGAAAAAATAGCTCCCTTTGAGGACATTAGAACAGGCTGTCCAGATTGTGCAAGAAAGAGGTTGTGCAGCCTGCATCCTTGGAGGCTTTCAAGACCTGACTGGATAAAGCTGCAAGTAGCCCAATCTAACCCCATGGATGACCCTGCTTTGAGTGCAAGAATTTGGACTGGATGACCTCCATAGGTCTTTCCAACCTGGATTATCCTGTAATTCTAACTTTAAGAGGTAGACATATCATTTTAGAGGAAAAATAGCAGTCAGTTTATTGTAGTGAACTTTGTAGTGTATGGTCACGTGTATAGCATTCAAAATGTTTAAAAATTGATTATTTACAGTGATATATTTGTTCAAAATCAGGGCTGTTGGCCTCTCATGAAGATTTCAGGACATAGATTTCATTGGGATAGGTAGTTACTTCTTGCAAAGGTTTTACAAGTGATTCTGACCTACCAATTGGTGTTGATGTTCCTTTTTTTAAGGCGGAGTCCTAGACTGCGTCATGAGATTCGTAAACCACGACACTCATCTGTAGATAATCTTACAAATGAAATGACCTATATTACTGAAACAGAGGATGTTTTTTATACATACAAGGGCTCTCCAACATCAAAGGACAGTGATTCGGAGTTCTTCCAGAACCGTAGTCCACGGAGGAGGTAAGGACTTCTGCAAAACATTTCATTGCTCGTTTTGATTTAAATAATAACAGCTTTAGTATAAAAGCTGTCATCATAAGTAGGTGATAATGATCAAGAGTTCACATAGTTTTGTTTGCATAAGCTTAATTTTGACAAACAGCTAAACTGCAAGCGCTGTGGTACAGAATGACAAGTTAAAAACCAACTAACTGCTCACCTTGAAAAAGCCTTAGTAAAATTAGAGATTTAAGACATACTTCATATCTGTAAAATCCTGTCTCCTAGTAGCTTATGCAACCCTTTCCCACCACAAACTTCTGTTCTTTTTGAGAGGTCTTGCTGAACTCTTTGATCTCACATATGTACCACACTGCCAGCTGCAGACGAGTTGAAAGAGTTCCTGCATTTGAGTAAACATAGAACATAATGCTGCTCACAGTCATCCATCTTTTCCTTCTTCAGAGGAGAATATACAGCCACGCTTTCCAAATGCAGTCTCAGCTTTTGGCCTTTAGACATTTTTAATCTTCTCAAAGACCAACTTTGTTCTTACCCACAGCGTTCTGAGTGCTGCTGGCTTTCTGTCTGGGGCTTGAACCTTCTATCTTTGTGCACTGGTTGGTCGTTTGCTCATACGTTTCATCGTATGTGCTATCTTTCATACCTTGCAACAGCATTTCTCATTGAATAATTTCTTATTCCCATATTATCTTCAGAAATAATAAATGTATCAGGACATGCAAAATCATTGGTTGATCAGTCTCAAAAACAAAATAGAACTACTACAAAACTTTCAGCTGGGGAAAATAACGTATTAAAATGCAGGTTCCTTTATGATGTTATGAAGGGAAAATGGCTTCTGGTGATCCCTAGTCGTCATAAGGCAGGGAGTACTTTGAGAGGCATTGTATTATTGGAAGGTGATGTGAATCACCTGTCTCAGTGACAGTGAATATAAGTGAATGTACACACCTGCACACACATACCCTATTACTAGCTATAGCTTTAAACCCTAGATTTAAATATGTTCTAAGATGTTGCAGGCATGCTTGGAATTTGTCAATGTTTTTGGAAACTGTGTATTTTTTTTACACTTCTGACTGGACATCAGGTGACCCTTAGGGCTAGCAGTGTCAGTAGTGGCCAAAATAATACATAAGTATGATGTTATGGTAGGAAGCCTTGTATTTCCTTTGTTTTAAGATTTACTGACAAATTATGTGTGTTCAGAAGTATCTTTAAAAAAAAAAAAAATTACCAAGAGACAATGAGGGCGGAAGCTGTAGAAAGAAAACAAAGTTATCACTCAGTATACTGTGTAGTTTGTGTCCTGCCTTTGTCCTTCTATTCCAGTTAGTACATTGCTGTTTGTTTTCTTTTATTTTCCTTTTTCTTTTCTTCCCCTGTGTTTTTTTTCCTTCCTGTTTCACCTTTCCTATGCCAACTGAGATGAAGTGGAAAAGCCTGTTTTATGGTGTTTCTCAGACAGTGAAAATAGGGTGTTTTCAATTTGAAAATAGCACATTTCTATGTAATTTTTTTCTAAACAGTAAATGGTTATGCTTTATCTGAGTTGTATCGCCCACTGTGGAGATGATGATTGCTGCTTTTATAACCTCAAATAAACCTAATTTTATGCGAGTCTTATCTCCAGCATTTTCTTGATTTCTTGGATATATTTATAATATCTGATACTATGCAGATAACTGCTTACATAAATATGGTGAATTTAAATTAAAGCAGTCTGTTTAGGGAGGAGAACATAGCACGAAGAATGAATGATCCTTTTTTTATTGCCTCAGATTTTTGTGAAATAATTTGGTCATAATTACTTTTATCCCTAGTGATTTAGGTGATACGGTAACCATACAGATCAAAAGGATGTTATTTTTCTGCACTAAAGTTTTCAACAGTTTATATTAGTTCATGTTCCAGCTTTCCTCTTTTATGTTCCTGTATCCATCATTACTTGGCTCCGCTCCCTCTACTGAAAGGTGTAGAGTAAGACAAAAATCTTTCTTTCTCTGAACGCTTTATTGAAAGAGACAAACCTAATTTCTCGGCTGAATCTGTTTTGTAAGAAGAAAAATTAACATGTGTCTTCAAAATTAAATGCTGACAAACATTTGTCCTGGACTCCTGCCCCACTTGAGGAATATTCAGATATTAAATATAAAACACCTTGCTGTGTGCTGGTAAACCTTTTAAACCTATCTTACCCATTTTTGCCATGCTACTCTTCTGCAGACTTGGATTGATGTAATTGAAGCATGCTATGGAAAAATACTGGAATTGCAAATCTTTTCTTTTTTCTTTAGAGGAGGGCTGAGAGTAGCCTTTCATTATCTTGCTAATACAGTTTATTTTTAAGAGGGTGTAGATAGCTCTTTTTTTACTGCCTAACCTGTTATTTGAGAGTATCAACAAAGTTGCTAGTTAATGCTGATTATTATTAATGGATGTCTTTGATGTGGAAAAAAATTCTGAAACAATTGTGGCGACAACTGCAAGATGTTTATATTTAATGCCTGAATTGTTATGTCTCATGCCTCAAATTTTAGTTGGAATCGTACAATAGTATGTTTACATCAATTAGTTTTCTCTACCCGCAGTTCAGGACTGGGCAAGGTGCAGTTAGGACAAGATATAGCTCTTCTTGGGGGAAGGGGCGGGGGGGGGGACCCAGGCAGGGGCCTGTTTCACTTCAGGCCCAAGGTAATGTCTTAAGTCCTTTCAACCAACCAAACGAGTCAAAACTGAGATGCTGGGAAGCTGTGTTTTTTGAGACAAACATGTAGATAAAATTTGTATGACAAAATTCACTGTGTACTTAATCCTACCAAGGCATGTTTGGAATCTCAGTGGATATTGGAGTTATAGAAGCTAATACTGATGGCAAACTGCATGTACCTGCACTTATTTCCCTATAAAGCTTTTTTCTCCTGATAATACCAAGCATAATTGCTCTCTTAATAATTGGTTTTCTTCCTTGCTGTGTTTAATCATTTATGGGAATCAATCAAACTTTCTTTTGTTTCTAAAAAACAGTACCCAGTTTATAAAAGAAATTATGAAATACAGTTCTTATGTTTTAGTTTTAAAGTGCTTAAAACGTATCAAATTTTCTTTCATTTCTTTTTCCATAGCACTGTATCAATGCACCAACACCTAGAACTATATTTCCTTTTAAATACGTCAAGTGTTGATACTGGAGATGGGGGCCAAGAATATTTTGTCATTTGATTATTGTACTATTTCTCTAAAGAACACAGTGGTTGTTTCAAAATATGTACCTTCTGTGAACTTTTTACCTTATACTGAACCTTAGGAGGTACGTTCCATGGGCTGTGATCTTTAAAAAAGGGGAAAAAAAGGAAGGAAAAAAAAAAAAGTTAGAACAAATGGTGCACGTCTGAACTACAAAAAAGCAGGGTAAGCCTTTGAGTGAGTTCTGTGTTGCTGCAGCTAGGCTGCTTCTACTGTCCAAATTATCTGAGGAACTCACATGTTCAAGTACCATTTGTCGTCCAGACGTGATCAAAAGAAGCAGTTTTCTCTCTGATTAGCATCTGTAGAAAAGATTGGAGCTATTTATTATACGTGTATTATAGACAAAAAATTGCTCTGATCCCAAATTAATATATATTAAATACAGAGCTTTATTCACAGGAAATGAATAGGTGTGCTTATTGGCTTGCTAATTTGCCAAGCCATCTCAAATCACAGCTACATGCAAAAACTGCCATCAAAGTGCTGGAGAGGATTTCAAGAAGACTTTAGTCCAGGGTTTTCCAGCCTTTGTGAAGCAAGCTTTACTGTCGCTTCTTTCTCTTCTTCGTTGCTGTGCTGCTGTCCATCTCATCTGACTACTACAGCTACTGAAAAGTTAACACTAACACACACATGGAGTCCACACTGAGCCTTCCGAAGTCTAGTAGACCGCTTTGCGTGTCATGCCACACCTTTTGTTGTTGCTGTGCCTCACCGGTTCAGAACAGGTAATATAGTCTATCTTCTGACTATATGTTGAATTCACTGTATCTAAACCTGTCCTGAAAGGTCTTTACATTTTTTAACCTATACTTACCCCATGCCTACATATGTACACACGTGCTACTACAGTTATTTTGTCTTTTTAAAATGAATTTGAAAATAATGTCCGTATAAAACAAAATAATTAGTTAAGTGCACTTATTTGGTAAATACGTTTTAGCTGAAATTGGTTTCCCTGGTCTCGACTTCAGTTTCACTGAAGATGTTTTGCTTTTCTTGGTATTTATGTTTTCTTTATAAAAACCCTGCTGCTACCTACTTGCCCGCGTTTATTCTTATCAGGTTACATATCTTCAGAAGTCCCTAAACATTGAGGTGTACATTAGGGAAGAGTTACAAATACGAAGGCTTGTGGCTTTCCTTTAATAAAGAAAATATATCATCTGCATAATATAATTTATTTCCGAAGTTATCTCCTCTGAAAAGCTACTTTAATTTGGGAGGAGGGGGCTCCATGATGTTTGCATCATACCAGTGGACTACCTGGCATCAACCCATCCCTGACCATCTGCTGTCCTGATAGGTTGTATCATGAAATGGAAAAGCTTGCTTTTGACAGAAATGCTTATCTTTCAGAGTAGCAGATTAAAACCGCTGCTAATTATTTGTGAAGACAGGCTGATGGGGGTGTGCAGGGAATTCTTCCCGATTTCTTTTTTCCTTTTTTAACCTGGTATGGTAGCTGAAGACTATGACTATTGTAATCTTTCTTCATAAAGGTCTCATTATAGTTTTCAAATTTGAAATGAGGAAAACCTCACTGATGTAAAAGAACGAATCGTTGTTGATTTCTTTCCGTGACATTAACACACCCTGTTCACTGCCCTGTCATTTGAGGGCAAAAGGCTTGCAGTAAAATTCAGTAGTATATCATATTAAGGGATACAGCACTGCTTCAAGACCAGATTAGGAAATCCAAAATCTCGAATTTAAGCAGTAACCTTCAAGTTTAAGTTGGCTTTAGC